GGATTTTTTTGGGTGGCACCACCTTCTCCGGCAATGTCCTACCACCACACCGGTCAACCATACTCATCAAGGGGCATCTATTCATGGTCTTATATTATCAAAGAACACATAATCCAAATTTTCAAATCAGTTCTTCATATCCAACCGGATACGCACGGTCTAGTCTCAATTTTTGGCACCGACAATGAGCCCCAAGGTCGCGAAGCACCTACTTCGGCATCCCCAACCATGCCTCATCTATTACTACCACGGGATTCCATCAATTTGATCAAAGATAGAGAGGCGTGGGTGGATAGAGAGAGAGAGAATGTAATTAGTAAATGATGTGAGAGAGGTTTTATATTTGGAGAGGGAGAGAATTTTCTACAAGTCATGGAGCTGAAGGTATATTATATGTACGTGTAAATTATATTTATATATATTATATATAATTAAGAGATAATTAGGATTTCAATATTGAAAACAAAACTATTAAAATTTAATTTTAGAAATTGAAACTTTAGATTTAAGGTTTGAGGTAATTTTCCCATCTTATAACTCTACACGTGATTGGGATTATCATTGGTGCATTTAGGCTCCATCTAAAACATGTGCACCTATCATTTTACATTTCTACCGACCATTTATGTTTGAATAGTCACATAATGATTGAAATAATATTACACGTCAATATATTATTTAAATATCTTTAATTTCAACCATTTAAATTTAAATATCAAAATCAATTTATCCAAAAAAAATTGATCATGAAATATGTAAATACAGTTCCCTTCGCCGTTTATGATAAATAGGTATACCTTCAGTTTAAGAAGAAAAATGGGACAAATAACAACTGAAGCAAAAGGCACATATTTTAAACTACTTTTAGTTCTGAAGCAGTGACCGAACGCTAAAACATCATACATAATTACTGAAATTCAGACTCAAATTACAATGTTAATGGGATACTCTGTATCTTCTAACATCAGATATCTATACCCCTCTTCTATGACCATCAAACCATCTTCAGTGGCTGTGCTAAGGTGTTCACAGGGGCTTATTACAAATTCTACTTCTCTTCTTTCTCCTGAATTTAAGCTCACACTTTGAAATCCAACCAATTGTTTTAAGGGACTTCGATTGCTAGGCCTATCATGCCTTGCAAATAGGAGAAATGGGTGTTTCCCGGCAACTTCCCCCGAGTTCTCGATTCCAACAATGGCCGAGAATTTGGCTTTCTCACATATTTCTGCCCCCATATCGGAAACTGGTAGGGAACGGAGAGAGCTTGAGCTTTCAATTGTTGTTGGAGAATTTAACAATTGCTTTAAATGGAGAGTGTTTGGAGTAGAAGAGATGAATTCGTATGTGTAGGTTGAGTAGCTGAGCCCATAGCCGAATTCGAACACTTTTTTCCCATTGTAGAAGCGATAAGTGCGACCTGGATATCCTGAGGATGGTTCAGGGCGCATTCTCATGTCAGTCATTGGTACTCGGGTGAAATCCTTCGGATACCAAGTGACGGGTAATTTTCCTCCTGCATGGCAAAGATTGTGTAAGATGAGTGTTTGACTGTCTCGAAAAAATCACCACCACAGAAAATAAATGAAGCAAAAAACAAAATAGAAGAGTGAACATAAGTTTACATGCCTAGAGAAGGAGAATCAATTAACCGATCAAAGTTTCAAATTACGTATATTTTGTCAGAGTTCGGAGCAATGGATGATATGTGTTTCAATCAAGATATCAAAAGATCTTACCTGGATTATGGTCACCAAATAGGATTTCTGCAAGTGCAATTCCTCCGGCTTCACCTGGATAACCTGCCCACAAGATGCTTCCAACTTGTGGATTATATTTTGCAAAAGAAACATCAACAGGACCTCCACAAACCAGCACAAGAATAACCGGCTTCTTTGCAGCCTTGGCAACGGCTGTGACGAGACTCTCTTGCTGACCAGGAAGTGTCAAATAGAGTCGATCACGCTCCTCCATTTCTTGACTTTGATCCAATCCCATGACCAAAACCACATAATCTGCTCCCTTTGCTGTATTAACAGCATCTTCGATTGCAACAGAGGTACAATTCACTGCATTGCATCCGGGGTGGAACTTGGTGTTCTTCACATAGCTCTGGAGCGCTTTGAGAATTTCCACAGATTTGCATGGAGGCCCTTCATAGTTTCCAACAAGTACGTATGCATTATTGCCATTTGGGCCAATTACTGCAAGAGATGTAATTTTGTTTTTTGAAAGAGGAAGAAGCTTCGCAGAGTTCTTTAAGAGGACAATGCCATTTCTTGCAGCTTCAAGGGCTAGGTCCTGGTGTTCTTGTGTACACACTTGATTAGGGCCAATGTCACCAAAAAGTTGATTATTTGGATTTCCATTAAACAATCCGAGCCTCATCCGAACTGCAAAAAGGTTATGAAGGGCTCTGTCTACAGCAGTTTCCAGGAGCTTTTTCTGCTGAACTGCTGATTTAGTGTAGTTTTTCAAGAAGGAGCCACAGTTGACATCCATGCCTGCATACATTCATATGGAATACGCACTCCATTATTCACTTTTCTTTTTTAATTGATCACTCCATTATTTGCTTTGCGATTAGATAATATCATGTAAGTTACAAGTAAAAGTTTTCTGTGAAACGAATTCTGTCTTCCATGGAAATACGAATCAATCAGGATCATACTATTCAGTGCCCAAGCAAAATACACAAGGCTGCATTATTTTCTCTTGGCAAATATTCTGAAGCACTTCATAGTAAATTACCCGATGCTGGTGCTCAAAGTCAAAACATTAAATCACATACTGGTTATGGATAGGCAATGAACATAGCAAATACATTAACAAAATAAAGTTTTGAGGGGTTCATAACAGCATATGCTATCATGTGTACAAATGTTCTAAATTCTTCTAGTTCATTAATTCTGTACAATATTGTTGAGTTCAGCATATCTAATGTGCATTAAAATGTGCACAAGTTATTGTGCATACAAAATTTATTGATGGTTCTGCAAAGTTTCTTTAAAGAAAAGTCACTTCCTGTCCCAAAAAAAAATCTCTAAGCAACTTTGTATGCTAATTTCACGTAAAATTGAATGTTCTGTACAAAACTATGCAAATTTAATATGTTACATAGATGTCCGACATGTGGTTTCTTTCTCATATGTCAAAATCAAAATGATTTGAGTGTTGAACATACAAAGCAAGGAATTCATCACGGTTTAAATTTACTTATAAAACAAGGAAAATAAAACCATCAAAACACAGAAAAAAGAAGAGATAAGAGTTCTACCAGCTTTGAGTACATCTGCTACTGTCTCTTCAGGTGATTTTGTATATTTATGAACATTGTAAATTACAGCAACAGCATCACAGTCGGAGGTGATGTACCTGATTAATAGTCAGTCACATATTAGAGTAGACTAGAGGCAAACAAGTTCACGCTACCAGAATACCATTGAAGAAAGCAAATGTCAATGTTACAAGAGAATTGTGCAAGTAGTCACCACAGTCCTGTTCTGCGTTGAACACAACATGTGTAATAGAAGAAAACATCGAAATAAACTTTTACAACAATAACCACCAGAAACATCAAATATTCTTGAAGAAAAATAAAACAACTAGTTAAATACCTCAACAGAAAAGGGACCGAGTTAGAGAAGAAAAAATAAATAAAACACTACTCTAATAGTGAACTGTTGGATCATTAAACTTGACACAACCAAATGAATAATATATTTTGGTTGATCAGAAAACGTGCTTTGCACTCTTAGGCAATCTCCTCGTCCTAATAGACTTCCGATAATCTATCTCCTATTCAGGAAATAAATCTATAATCAATCTTCGAAAATGGAAAGAAATTAATTTGTTATTAAAATACTAAAAACCTACTCCTAATAGAACTAAACTCCTACTAATAAGAAACCAATAAAATCTTAGTACAATTTCCCTACATCACATTATAATAGCATATTTAGGCTCTGATTGCAACTCAACATGTTATCCTGGAAAAGAACAGAAACCAGTGTTAGGGGGAGTGTTAAAGTCAACAATAGGTCAAACTAATTGATACCAAATCAAATTAATAAAGCCCAAAAGCAAGAGAGCCCAATATCCACGAGGATATTCCTCATAGACATATTCAATCCAAGAAATCCATTAACTGATCAGGTGAACGTGTTAATGGAGAACCAAATGTTAACAAAGATGAAGGCTGTAACCCAGATGCCAGGAAAAGGTAAATGCAACCCAAGTACTCATTTGAGTGTCGAACGAGGTCCTTAGTTGCATAATTTCTTATTAAAGAATTGCTTTAGCCATGGGAAACCAATCTCCAAGAGCCGATTTAACTGGGAGATCCAACCATATATGAAGAAAGTCAAGCTACAAACAAGTTAAACCTACAAAATACCCTTCAAAAATGCCGAAGGAAGTGGTGCAAATTGCCTTACCCATGAAAACCCCATTCTCCACGAGCTGTTTTGGTTAAGAGATCGTAGTCAGCACAATTTGGAACCCCATTCACACTGTTATAGGCACACATTATCCCACTGGCTTTCCCGTCTTTTACACAACTTCTGAAAGGTGGCTGATAAGTATCTGCCAAATCTTGCTTTGTTACCTACATATTGTATCTCCATTAAAGCAGAAGAGAAGCACAACTAATTTGGACTTTGCAGCTTTTGCGCAGTTGAGGATTACAGAAATTATATATTAAAATAAAAAAACTAAGCTTTATTCTGCATAACTTGGGTGTCATTTAAATGAATTCTTTTCCGTCGCTCCATTAAGTTCGTTACCAGATCCAAAGCCATAGCAACATATTACAGATATTATAATAATGAGCTGAACACACATACACATGCATACATACACACATATATTGACAGAATAAATAACAACTTCAACTAAACTAAAGGAATCTATTCAATACATACATATATTGACAGGGGATATTATTCAATATTCATGGAACAAACAGAATTGAACATATAGTAACCTAACCACATATCCCAATAAAGGCCTACACATCTTTTCATATTGAAGAATATATAGACAAATTCATGATGCTTCACATATATCAAAAAGGAATCTTTGAACCAACGTTTAATTTTTACAAGTGCAATAGGTGAAACACTACTATAGTCAAAGCAATGATAAAAGTATCAAGAAAAGAATTTGTTGAAACAAGATATATTTTTCAACTTTTTTTATACATTGTTTGGCAGCAAAGAAGAAAGACTCACAAAATTAGAATTAGAGATTCTTCATTACAAATATAAAATGAATATAAATTTCAATTATTTACCTGAGCATTAAATCCAAAGCGAATAACTCCATTCCAATTATCCAAATCATAAGCAGTGAAGTGTTTGCAGCAAGCAGATGCCTGAAGATGGCCACTGTTTAGCTTCCCACCTTGAAAAGTGTCCCCTTGTATTCCTCTAACATACGCTACTGCATAATTTCCCACAACCAATGGATCTTCCCCAGGTGTTTCTTGCCCTCTTCCCCATCTTGGGTCCCTAAAAATGTTAATATTTGGTGCCCAAAATGTCATCCCCTTTGCTTGCCCTGCATTATACACTGCCCTTGCTTCTTTTCCAATCGCCTACCCATTTTCAGATTCGCACAAAAAATCATTTAGTATGCTTTCAATGTCAAATATATTGCCAATTAAGCTCTAATCCCAATTACAAGAACAATGATAAGAACATCCGAATTATAAACACACACTTAACATAGAGCTATATGTTCACAGGTTTAAAGAATTTTCCCTTTCTTTTATCACAAAAAGAGACTTCCCCCTAAAGTGCTTTAGGTAAGTCGATTTGCAGTCGAGGAAAAGTGAACAGTATGACTAAGTTCTATGCAATCTAACAAAATTTCCTCCACTAATGAATGGCAATGATAATAAGTATAAGGTGTGGAGAATTTCACCTGGCCAATGCGGTACCAAAGATGAGAATCAAAGGTAGCAGCAGTGAGGAGGACTTGAGGGAAGCTAGTGACAGAACTGATTCTTCCATTGAATGTAACACCATATCCATAACCAGAGACACCATGCAATGCCTCGGACCACCATTCATAAGGAGGCACACCGAGTCGTGGGATGGCCGGTGCTGAGTTAACTAGCTGAGATATCTTCTCATCCAACGTCAGGCGGGAAACAAGGTCCTGCACTCTTTTTCGGATTGGCAGCTTGGTTTGGCAAAATGGGAACAATTTAGTCTGTGGATTTGCTGAGTCACATGAGAACGGAGGCTGAGTCGACTCAGTATGCAGAAGGAGTAATGCCAGGCAAATGGCATTAATGAGAGCTGTTACAGGGAGTAACATTGTTGATGGCATGAAAAGAAAGTAAAGTGAGAATGGAAAACAGAAGTTATATATGCATAGTGGCTTACACATGTTTGGCTAAGTTTAAAAAGTTCACTTATAAGTTGCTAAATAAATTACTTTATTTTAACTCACTTTACTTGTAGATGAAAAATTACTTAATTTAGAGTTTACTTATTATTTACTCAATTTTTTTTTTAAACACAAATTATCAACTATAATATGATTCAAATAATTGATTTTTTAACGATAACAACATTAGTACGAGCAAGCATGTTTGAGAGAGCTTGAAGGTCTCTATGATCTCTTCACGGTTTTGCCAACTTCGGACCCTTAACTATAGCATCGAGCCCCTGTTTAGTGAGGATTAAAATTATATTTGTAGTAGATTTTGATAAAAAACGATGAAATGGTAATTAAAATTAATTTTTGATTTTGATTAAGATTGTAATCTTGATTTTTAGCAACACCAAACAGGGGCTGAATTTTCTTCGCTGGAATCAACACAGACTTTGTAGAAAAAACGTCTTTGTTCGTTTTAATATCATCCATTCAAACATATTTTTACATTTAAAAATAAAGTTTTCTTAAAACTTATGAAAAATCTCTCACTCTGACTACAATTATTAATGATCAGTTTCACACATAAATTCCAAAAAGGTGACCATATTAATTTCTCTGTTGCGAAAAGTAGTTGAATAGTGATTTTCCCCACCCAATCTGAAGAAAGTTTGCAGTTTATTCCAAGTTAAAAACCAAAAATAAAATAATTAAATACGTGGGTGGGTCCACTAGTTGGAGAAAGTTGAATCCATGTCCAGATTTTCTTGATTAGTTCCCTTGATTTTAGGCAAACAGTAGGTCTACCGTCTACGGCGGTTTGTATTCTTATGCAGCATTCCTCGCGAAGCTTAAAACTTATAAAAATGACGAACTTCCATTGTAATTTAATATCGCAAATCAGTGGCGAGATGACAAAGGGAATACAATCGATTCATTCCATATCGAATGGGGAATTAATAGCAAAAGAAATACATGAATATGCCTATTATATTCTTATTTTCAACATACTAAAATATCACCAAGTAAAGCTACAATTTCAGAAATTGCATGATCATTTACGGTTCGTTTGATTGCAAGAATGGAATTGAGTGGAAACAAAATGAATTTCAGGAAATTGAATTGTCTAAAACTTGTTTTATTGAGAATTATCAATTAATTGTATTTGATTGATATAATTTTTCACTTAGAAAATATTGAAATTTTGGATCATTTGGTGTTCGTTTTGCTTTATTTTTCATGAAAATTATCCATTAAAGGGATATAATTTATTACAATTGGGGATAAAATTTGTTTCCATTGCAAAAAAAAAAAAAAAAATTATCTAGAAAAACTTTTCCCATCAAACCCATGGAAAAAGCTTTTCCTCAAAAATCAAGAAAATATGGAAAATCAAGAAAATGTAAAAAACTAATTCCATGGAAAATTTAGTCAATCAAACATGCAAAAATGTGGAAATGAATTTTATTTTTCATTTTTCATGAAAAAGAAAGTCAAATCAAACAGGACATCTGTCCAGATTTCAGGTGTCATACGAGTTGAGGTTCATCAACTTCAATTGTGCCAATCTTAAGCCCTTTACCAATCATTAAGTGCCTCGATGGCCGCTAGAAAGAAATATCCCAAAAATGCAATGGGAGCAAACAACAACAATAGTCCCGTTGCAATCTTGAACCTCAATAATACCATACTCATCTCTCACAACGGAATCAAAACTCGCATAATTCGCACGCTCAATGGTGTAGTCATCATCCATCTCCCGAAAGGAGCTCAGTAGTGCAGAGCCCAACTAACAAAAGAAATGCTATTCATCCCAATTGGGGATGCATCCCCAGTATATGTGGCGTTAATGTGGTATTAAATAATATGTGAAATTAAATAAGTCATTTAATTTCACCTATTATTTAACAAATCATTTACATCCATATAGAGTGGGGATGCATCCCCATAGGGGAAGAATAGTATTTTTCAACTAACAATGCCTTCATACATGCAACTGTTTTTTTAGTTAAGTAAATTACTTATTTTGACAATTAACCATAATTACTTTCAAATACGATCATATATCCTTTGTTCCGCAATTCACTATGTAACAATATGTATATTTCCCACGAAATCGTCATTTCAAATAGATTTTTTAAGTAGAATTTATCGAGTCGTGTCAAGATTCTTTAAATAAATACAACTTCTACCTTGGTGTTTTTGATAGTTTATTGCCGACACTAATGTGGAAAATATTTACTGTATATGAAGCACTGAACCAATTGTCCCCATCTAACTTCAATGCTTCTCTTCCAACATGTCCCTCCCAGCCATTCTACTAAACCTTAACCACACAAATTAGACCAGGCTCATTAATTTCTGATATGATCTACATAAACTGAAATGTACAATTCATAAAGTATAGATAAACAGCATCGTAAGTTATTTCACAATGATCAATTAGTTCCATCAATTATCATAATATTGAAGTAATGTCAAGTAGGGAAAATGTTTTGCATTGCTTTGCTTTGCCTCGAATAGGGCGGGAATTCCATGGTTAGTTGGTTCATTGGGGAAAGCTCCAGGAACATGGTCCTTGCCCCAAACTCGAAATAATATTTAAAAATGTTAAATAAGTAAATGGCAGAGATGGGGATAGGAAATGAGGATATTTTAATATCGTCAAGTCGTCTCGTCATTCCTAATGTCGAAGTTGAATCGAATTTATTTTTTTTACCCCCGTTTGATTGCAATGAATTTCATAAAAAATGTCACATCCGAGAAAAACGAATTCTACTTTGACCGTTTGATTGTAACGTGGAAATGCAAACCGACTTTCAAGGTACAACCACTATAAACTGCAATTTTTTTGTTTGAATGAAAAACGAATTCCTATAAATTTTACGGATTTTTATTTTTCAACTAACATAGAATTGAAATTTGTTTCCAACTTTGCTTATCAAATGGACCCTTAGCCTCGTAAATACGGAAAGCTTCTACTGATTTTACACTGATGGATTATACCAAAAGTCTTGTGTGTTCTCCTCCCTTCTGACTTGAATCAAGATTGTTTGATGCCGTCAATATTAATTAAAACAATATTTTAAAATTTATAATGTCTAACGTTATTAAATACTATATTTAATTATGGCAGGCATTTAATAATTAGTACGTAGAAGAACCCTCTCCCAGTTGAGATTTTTTTTTTTCCTGATTATAATGGTAACTGGAGTAATGTCACCCTTAACTCTTTCTATTTTTTTTTCCCCCGACTAAATTGCCGACAAAATCCATCGGCATTCAATCATGCTACTCAAACATGGAATTTTGACAGAAATGTTGGCGGTCAACACTTGGAGTGCATGAATTGGAAGATGGAAAAAAAAAAGGTTAATTGAATTATAATTCACCACGTCCGCTCTATCAACTTTTCCAGTCAAAAATCCCTGTTTGAGTAGCTTAATTCATTAGCATGTGATGCATGGACAAGATTGATTATTTTGTTGAATTGATGGTAACATATCAATATCTGACAACTTAAGAAGCCTATCAAATCTCGATGGTTGATTGATTAATATTTTTATAATTATTGAATTAGATGTTCTGCCCTCGAATTTAATCCATAAGCATGAATTTTTTTATATATTTTTATTTTTACGTGTATTGTTGACTCCGACTTTTACCATTATTACACTTTTAATCCCTGTTTGAGTCACATTAAAATTTTCATTTTCATTCTTCTACTCATTTTCAACCATACATTTTCAATAAAATAATATTTTCCATCATATCAATAACTTTTCTTTCTTTTTCAACCACACATTCTCCATCACTCTACTCTTTAACCATACATTTTCAATAAAATAATATTTTCCATCATATCAATAACTTTTCTTTCTTTTTCAACCACACATTCTCCATCAATCTACTATTCCAAAATACATTCTTTCAAAATAATGTGACTCAAACACACCCTTATTCTCAAACTTTATTACTATTTCCATGCTTTTATATATTATTAATGGTCTGTCATCTCCAACGGTTGAGTTTTGATACCAAATAAGTCCCGAACAATGGTGTTAAAATTTTTGAATATATTTCATAAATCTCGGTCGATGAGTAAAATTATTATCAACACAATCAATTTATATACTCGACCCGAAGACAACTTAATTTGTTAATGTTGCCTTTATACAAATTCACTTATATAATGGCTTTCTTTGAGTGTTTTGGCCCAATTGATCATATAACCTATTATATAGCCTTCATATTAATCATTTGGAACATGTGTGCTTTATCCTTTTTTTCGAGAGAAAAATAAAAGGTAGATGCCTCGTGTTTTCTTTTTCTTTTTCTTCGTGCCTTGTCTCAATTATTTTCTCTTTGCCTTTGGGTTTGCAAATTACCACTCCTTTGTGGGTGAGAAAAGAAGAAAACAATCATAATTGAATACAAGTTATGGGTCAGAGTTTTAATTGATTCTTTGATATCGATTGATAAGTTTAAATTGAGCCCGAATTCCACAAATTGAATATTAATTCCGTGAAAAATGGTATCAGAGCTTTAGGTAGGTGAGAATATGAGATTTTTTGGTAATTTTGGGATAAAAATTGGTAAAGAATGCAGCTGAAAAATAGATTCCAGAAACTGTCCAAAAGAAAATCATGGCTATCAAATTTGTTTTATTGTTTTGTGGGCGCGTAGAGGCCACTAGTAAAACATCAATGAGGTGCGTCAGACGGTTTTAGGCGGTGGCTCCAAAAGACAGTTTCTTCTTGACGGCGAGACGAACCTTGCAGTGTTGTCGAATTTTTAGTTTCGGGCGGTACATTGAAAATTGGACGATTTTAACCTTTGACGTTAGGGTGCCGCGTGTAGTTTTGTGTTACCGTAGTTGACGAAAGTTTTGGGGCGGCTAGTGATAGCCCTAAAGTTTGATAAATTCGTATCTCTTAATA